GGGTGGTTGTTAGCTGCCATGTGGGTGCTGGGATTTGAACCTGGGTCTTCGGCAAGAACAGCCAGTGCTCTTAACTGCTGAGCCATCTCTCCAGTTCCCTTCCTTTGGTTCTGTGTGTCCCCATACACATGAAGGCCAGAAGACCGTCTGTGCTGCCGTCCCTCAGGCATCCTCCTCGTTTTCGGAGAGAGGGTCTCTCTTTGGCCTGGGACCCGCTGGTTAGGCTAGGCTGGCTGGTTGAAATGTGGATTCTCGGAGATCAAACTCAGATCCTCAGGCTTGCAAGACAAGTGCTTTACACCAGCCCTTGACCAGCTTTCTTATGTCAGGTCCTGCGTAAGCCCTCCCATCGGTCATACGTTCATTTCTGTTGCCGTGGTTTAACACCATGATGAAAATGCAGCATGGGAGAGAAAGGAAGGGTTTTATTTGGATTATGACTCCAGGTCACAGTCCATCACTTCAGGGATGTCAAAGCAGGCACTTGAGACAGCTGGTCACAGAACATGCACAGGTAAGAGCAGGGCAGAGCAAATTCACCGGTGCCTGTGAGCTGCCAGCTTTCTCTTTTTTTTAATATTTTATTTATTATTTTTATTTTATGTGTATGCATGTATTGCCTGCATGTAGGTAAGTGCAAATGCCCGCAGAGGACAGAAGAGGCTGTCGGATCCCCTGGAACCGGAGTTACAGACAGTTGTTAGCTGCCATGTGGGTGCTGGGATTTGAACCCAGGTCTTCTGCAAGAACAACCAGTGTTCTTAATGACTGAGCCATCTCTCCAGCCCCACTTTCTCTATTCTTATACAGCCCAGGGCCCCAGCTAAGGAATGCTGCTGCCCACAGTGAGCTGTGTCTTCCTGTGTAGATTAACAGTCACTGCATTCCCCCTTAGACAAGCCCAGGTGAATCTAGGCTATGTCAAGTTGATGGTTGAATCTAAGCAGTACGCACAGGACGTGAAATGACGTGACATCCAGTAAGCTCTCCATTATTGCTGAGGAGAGCTGAGCTGATGGTTAGCGGGGCCTTTCCTTTAACAGCTCCATTACAGGGGGGTGGGAAGGGCAGATTGATGATTTGAGATGAGCCATTTTTTCCCCTTTCTTTCCAAACATCTCTGAGTAAGGCCCCACCCCAAATGTTTCTTCCTAGCTCCATGAACTTGAAAAAGGGGGAAAAAGTATTTTTTGATGTAACCCCAAAACTCTACTCACTGAGGGAGTTGATGACCAGCTCTTACAGGAAGCAATTTGCTTTGAACATGATGCTTCAGTCCTGAAATTGTTCCCTGAATGCCAGTTCGGAGCTCCATTCTTGCCAAGTCTCTCTCTTCTGGCATAGGGAAGAGAGTTCTGTGCCTTCCAGACCCGCAATGAGAGCAAGCCCACCCCACCCATCCGCCAGGGCTCCTGTGGGGTGTTCCTCGAATGAGGTCACAGAACATGACAGCCTGGCCGCCATCTGACCGTCAGGCCCACTCAGAGAGTCATCACAGCAAAAGGGAACTAGGGAGAGGAGGCTAGCCGAGGGGCCGCTGGTCTTCACTGAAGATACAGAGGATTTCCTCTAACAAAGGAGAAGTCACACCTCGCAGCCCTCAGCTTTCAACACACATCTACCTTCCGAAGGCCTCTGCCTTCCACAGCTTCCACCTCATATTCCTCCCCCTCTCCACCTCCCTCTAGCTCTCCTCTCTCTTCCAAATTTGTTTTTTGTTCCTCCTTCTAATAGCTATGAGCTTTAAAAAAAAAAAAAATGCAGGTAAGCATGGAGAGAAGGTTCAGTGGTTAAGGGCATGTACTGTTCTTCCAGTAAGGAAAATGAAACAGAAAAACGAGCTGGGCATGATGATGCCAAATCCAGCACCCAGGAGACCGAGGCAGGAGGGTTATTCCAAGTTCAAGGCCAGCCTGGGCTACACAATGAGACACTGTCTCAGAAATCAAACAAAAAAGCAGAATGCTAGGCCATGGTGGCACACGCCTTTAATCCCAGCACTCGGGAGGCAAAGGCAGGCGGATCTCTGTGAGTTCAAGGCCAGCCTGATCTACATTATGAATTCAAGGCCAGCTTGACCTACATTGTTATTTCCAGGACAGTGGGAGTTAAAGGGAGACCCTGCCTCAAAAAAAAAGCAGAGCCGGGCGTGGTGGTGTATGCCTTTAATCCCAGCACTTGGGAGGCAGAGGCAGGCAGATCTCTGTGAGTTCAAGGCCACCCTGGTCTACATTGTGAATTCCGGGACAGCTGGGGCTACAGAGAGACTCTGTCTCAAAAAGACCAAAAAAAAAAAAAACCCTATATTTGTAGCTTTAAAGTCTTCCCCAAAGGAAGATACCATGCCCAGAGACTTATTGCTGAACTATACCAAATACTTAAAAGAACAAAACTCTACCCAATAAAAGAATGCTTCCAGCATGACCTCATACCCAAACCAAAGATCAAGATTTCTCATGAACATAGATACGAAAAATCTCATCAAAATATTAATACACCAAGCTTGTAAATAGAAAAAGAAAGTTAACAGCAAAACCAAGTGAGGTTTATCCCCAGGAAGGGAAGTATGTTCAGTATGAAGACATAATCAGCCCTGAGTAGCCAGAAGAAGAAAAGCCACATGGTCATGTCTGTAGACAAAGTCGACATCCAGGCATGAAAAAGTCTCAGCAAATAGGAATGTGAAGGAACTGACTCGACCTGGTCAGTGCATCTATGAACAGCAACCGCAAAGCCACCCCCGACACCACAGCTAATGTGTGCTTGCCCGTGAGGGGCTGAGCACGGCGCCCCAGACTGGAAATGAGGCCAGGATAGCCTCTCTCGGCACCCCTTACTCAGCACCATCCTAAAGTCTAGTCAGTGCCACAAGGAGGAGAGGGCTGTGGGGAAAGAAAGGAAGGGAACTGTCCCTCTCTTCAGATGGTTTGATTATCAGTGTAAAAAATTCCAACATATTGACCCAAAGCAAACTCAAATTCGGCAAGAACATTTGTCAAAGGGGCAGGATTAAAGTCAACACAGAAAACTGATCTTTTCTCTACATGCCAGTAAGGGATAATTGAAAAATTTTAAAATGAAAACAATATCATTTATGATCAATCCCCCAAATAAGATGCACAGATGTAAATTTACAGGCTATATATGCTGAAAACTATGAAATCCTACAAAATTTCCCCAAGAAAGAAAAGAAAAATCTAAAGATATGGAAAGACATACTATGTTTATGAATAGTAAAGATATCATTTTTCCCCAACATTGATCTGTAGATTTGATGCAATCTCAGTTTTTTTAAATACAGAAAGCTTTTTATTTATGTAAAAAAAAAATTTTTTTTTCAGTCTTTTTGAGACAGGGTCTCCCTGTAGCCCAGCTGTCCTGGAACTCACTATGTAGACCAGGCTGGCCTTGAACTGACAGAGATCCGCCTGCCTCTGCCTCCTGAGTGCTGGGATTAAAGGCGTGTGCCACCACCACGCCCAGCTTATTTTTTAATTTTTTTATGTTTTTTTTATTTATTTTTATTTTATGTGTATGAGTGTTTTGCCTGCAAATATGTAGGTACACCACATGCATGCAATACCCATGCAGTCCAGAAGAGGGCATCAGACCCCCCTGGAACTAGCGTTATGGACAGTGCCATGTGGGTGCTGGGAACTAAAGCCAGGTCCTCTGTAAGAGCAGACCATACTCTTAACCACTGAGCCATCTCTACTGCCCCCAAGATTTTATTTTTTTAATTATGTATGTGTGGGGGTCTGTGTGGGTCTGTGCACATGAATACAATGCCTGAGGAGGCCAGAAGAGGTGTTGGATCCCCTGGGGCTAGAGTAACAACTGTGAGGCACCTGATGTGGGTGCTAAGAACTGAACCCAGGTCCTCTGCAAGAGCAGCCAGTGCTCTTAACTGCTGAGCCATCCCTCCAGCCTCAGGAAGCTTTTGTAGAAAGACATCTCACAGGACTGGTTACAAGGTTCAGCAGATAAAGGCACTTGCTGCCAAGTCTGATGATCTGAGTTTGATCGCTGGAACCCACATGGTGGAAGGAGAGAAACACCACCTGAAAATTACCTTTGACCTCCCCACTCCCACCATGGCATGTGTGCATACACACACACACATGCACGCACACACACAAATAAATGTAATATAAATTTTTAAGCAAAAAACTAAAAGAAAAAAGGCAGAAAGAAACTGATTCTGAAATTTATACTAAAAAGCAAAGAAATTGAAATACCAAAAACCACAAGAATAAAGTAAGAGAAATTCCATCACTTCGTTTTCAGAGTTACTGTACAGTCATGGTTATCAAAAGAGTGTTCTCAACAAAGAGAATTACAGATGCATGGAACAGAATAGGAAACCCCCAAACACACCCACAGTCCTGACACCCACAGTCCTGACACCCACAGTCCTGACATCCATAGTCATGGTCAGATGTTTTTGGAAAGAGTAAAATGACCACTCAATAGAGTAAAGATAATCTTTTCAACAAACGATCCTGAAACACTTATACATCTGTATGCAAAAAAAATAGAAGTAATTAAAAAAATGACCCTGCAAGTTGTGGAGATAACTTAGCTGGGAAAAACTGTTTCCCACATAGACATGAGGAACTGAGTTTGGATCTCCAGCACCCATGTAAAACCTGAATGCAGCAATGAGCACCTGGCTCTGGGGAGAGAGATGGGGCTTGCTAGCCAGATAGTCTATCCAAATCGGTGAGCGCCAGGTTCAGTGAGGGACCCCAAATAGAAAAGCGATAGAGGAGATCCCTGGCATCACCTCTGACCTCACACAAGCACACATATATACATGTACACACACACACACACAATTAAAACAAATAAATACACACTTATATATGTGCGCTTTGATATACATAATTTGCACTCTGCTACAACACTCCACTATAAAAGTTTTTCTACACCATTAAAAATTTCTCCTTGCTGGGGGCATGGTGGCGCACGCCTGTAGTCCCAGCACTTGAGAGGCAGAGGCAGGCAGATCCCTGTGAGTTCAAGGTCAGCCTGGTCTACTGGTGTACATAGTGAGTTCCAGGAGAGCTGGGGCTACAGGAAGACCCTGCTTCAAAAAGAGAAAAAAAAAAAAAATTAGAAACTGGAGAGATGGCTCAGCTGCTAAGAGCAATGGCTGCCCTTGCAGAGGACCTGGATTCGGTTCCCAGCACCCACATGGCAGCTAACAACCATCTATAACTCCAGTTCCAGGGGATCCAACACCCTCTTCTGACCTCTGCAAGCATTGCACAACACAGGTGAATACATGCAGACATAGACACAAAATAAAAATAAACTTTAAATTCTCCTTAAGACCAGGTGTGGTGTCACATGCCTTCAATCCCAGCATAGGAGGCAGAGGCAAGCAGATCTCTGTGAGTTTCCAGGATACCCAGGGCTGGAGAGATGGCTCAGCAGTTCAGAGCACTGACTGCTCTTGCAGAGGACCCGGGTTCGATTCCCAGCACCCACATGGCAGCTACAAACTGTCATTAACTCCAGTTCCAGGGGAATCCGAAGCCCTCTTCTGGCCTCTGCGGCATTGCACGACATGGGTGCACTCACACACATGCAACTCATACACATAAAAAATAAAAATAATAAAATATAAAAAAAGATTTACCATTTTTATTTGTGTGTGTGTCTGTCTGTCTGTCTGTCTGCCACATATGTACAGATACCCACAGAGTCCAGCAGAGGGCATCCAGCTGGAGTCACATGTAATTGTGAGCCGACCAAAGTGAGTGCTGGACAGGGAACTCAGGTCCTCTGGAAAAGCAGCTGGTGCTCTTAACTGCTGAGTCATCGCTTCGGCCCCAAACCCTTGTTTTCTTACATTGTCTTGTCAGGAATTTGTCACAACAACCAGGAAAGTGACCAACACGATGTCATTTACCTCTTCTGTTTTCAGGGTCTCTGGACATCACGTTCCTGAGGCCGGTGGACAGCCAGGCGAGGCACGTTCCAGGTGAGGACACGGGGCTCCACTGGATGTACTGCCTCAGAGCCCAAATCTGACTGGGATGGAGCCACGACTGGGCTCCAGAGGGAGAGACAGCTGCCAGCTATGCTCTAGCGATGAGAAGTTTTTTTTGGGGGGCGGGGGGTGATCCTGATTTATAGAGGAATGGAGCAGCAAGTGTGGCTTTGAGATGCCCTGATGCGCAAGAGACTCCAAGAGGCCCTTTCCCAGGCCCCACCCTGCCCTTGGACTTCCTGCCTCCCCAAGCTGCCAGGTGGTCCATCAGAGTCCTTCCCATGGGATAAACCCATCCCCTGCCCAGGCACAGGGCTGGTCAGGACAGAGAGGCTGGGGCTGAGTTCTCGTGGGTCTTAAGGGTCTCAAAAGTGGCTGGTTTGACTGGAGAGATGGTTTAGTGGATAAAGTGCTTGCTGAGCAAGTGTGAGGACTGGAAATCGGATCCCCAGAACCCATGTGAGTGCTGGGTGGGCCTGGCAGGCCGAGCAGGTGTTTAGAATGTGGAAACGGTGTCTGCAGCGTGTGCAGCTAGGCTAGCCTAGCTGAATCAGTGAACTCTGGGTTCGATTGATAGACCCCACCTCAAAGAGTAAGGTGGACAGTGATTGAGAAAGACTCCTGACTTCATCTTCAGGCCTACACACACACACACACACACACACACACACACACACACAGTATACACACACAGGCACAGGTATGCACATACACACTACACATATATACACATAAAAATGGATGGGGGGCTGGTGGCTCAGTGGGTAAAGGCAATTGTCACCAAGTTTGATAACCTACGTTCAATTCCCAGGACCCTGTGGTGGAAGGAGAGGACTCCTGTTAAAGTTAGCCTCTGATTTCCACGTGTGCACTGTGGCACACCCCAAATAAATAAATAAATAAATAAATAAATAAATAAATAAATAGAGGGGCTAAAATTTTAAAGGGTGGGGGCAGGGCTGTTTTTATCATGTCCCTTTGTTTCTTGAACAAACCAGAGCAGGATACCACCAGGTTCTGGAGGTTCTGGGGACTATACATCGGCCCTGGCTTTGCATTAGGACAGTAGTATTTCATCATGGGAGGGCTCAGTCCCACAGTCTGGTGGAAAATTCCAGATTCTGGAAAGTGCCAGCTCCAGGCAATCCCAGGGAGAGGACATCAGGCCAAAGGTGATGAGTCACAGAGACAGCAAGAACGATGTGGCTAGCAGGCCTGGCCTCAAATCCCATCTCTGCTGTCCATTAGCTGCGTGACCCTAGGCCAATCACTCAACCTCTCTGAGACTGGTTGAGAATAACACCATAGCCACAGCACACAGGTCAGTGGCAGCTGAGCCTTGGACGAGGAGGGACTGAGAGCAGCTGTGAGCTCGAAGGTGACCGACCACAGCAGTGTCAGCTGAAGTCTGCACACAGGGCTGTGGTTCCTCTGTCAAGTGGGACTGTGCAAAGTGAGTCCTGGGACCAACTAGACATGCACCCCCCCCCAAGACCTCATTCCATCTCCTCAGGCCCCAGAGACCTGCAGAGACCAAAGGCAAAGACAGCTTTCCTGGACTCCTTACAAAATTAGACAGAGGTAGACTTGTCTATAAGATATAGGTATAGCCAGGCAAGGTGGTACACGCCTTTAATCCAAGCACTCCAGAGGCAGAGGCAGGTGGATCTGTGTGAGCTCAAGGCCAGCCTAGTCTACTTAACGAGTTCCAGTCAGCTGCAGCTACAGGGAGACCCTGTCTCAAAAATAAGAAATAAAAAAAAATTTAATTAGAACATGTAGGTGTAACACTAGCTCCAGCTCCAGGGGGCGCTGCCATAAGGATTAAATGAGCTAAGGCAAAAAACCTGGTACACAGCAGTATCAGCTGTTAGTGTCAAGTCATTATAGTTATTCCTCTAATTGCTAAAATGGGCAGAGTTACAGAGAGGAACCTTCTTACAGGCCTCCCAATATGCTGGCCAGGGAGGCTCCATTTTGGAAACTCCATCTTAAGGAAGTAACCCTGAGCTAAATAACCCCAGTTCTTGTAAGTGACCCAGTCCTCATAAATCATTTGGCCTTCCTAGTAAGACCACAGGAGAACAAAAGCAGGTTTTGCAAAGCCGGTCTGATGTCTCTACCTGCTCATTCTGGCTTCTGTAAACTTGCATATCGCTGTGTCCCAAAGGAAATGGGATCTCGAACTCCTTGCAGCTGCAAGCTCCACAGAGTGATGTCGCCACTCGGTTGCTATAAGTTTTCCTTGTGCCCCTGCTTGTTTGTTCAAAAAGTTTACCTGATTTTTAAACAAGGTATCAAAACTGTGATCCCCAAAACCCCTCTACCATGGACCCTGCAATTGTATAACTGTCATGAGATGATTGACAACTGCCTGCCTTGTGTGCTCGATAACCCCACCTGGAAAGTCCCCTTACGAGTTTGTGCTGTAAAAGGTAGCACCCCACTCCATCGGGGCTGCGGTCCTTATTCTCAAGTTAAGGACTGTAGTCCAAGCTAACTTGAGTAAAACTTTTAATTAAAATCTGACCCGGTGTCTGGTGGTCTTTTCCCAGGGGTCCCGAACTCTGTAACACTAAGAGGCAGAGAGGAGAAACCCTGGGCTCTATGCTCAGAGTACCTGGGTCCGAAGTGACCTCTTGTCTCCTGTGTGAATTAAGTGAGGCCGCTGACGCTGCTTTCCCGGCATTTTGCCCTTGCTGTTCCGTTAGGAATCCCCTTCCACTCTCTTCACCCACCTGGATCCTGACATCCTTTAAGGGCAGGTATGGCCCTTCTCCAGGAAGCATCCTCGGAGGCCGCATGTGGGGTGGACAGCTCAAACCAGTCCCTGTGTGCGTAATTCAGGTGGCACTACCCATCTGTGGCTGGGATTTGTAAACTTTCTACATATGTAGCCGGTGTCTTCAACCAGGCCACAGGTGCCTCAAAGGCGGTGGTCAAGAGCCTGCACTGGGATGGCCCACACCTGCACTCCAGGCTTTTGTTCTTACCTGTGGACACCACCCGAGGACACTCGTTAGTTTTCGGCTTCTCCCTGTAAACTACTCACACAGCGTCACGTGATGTTCCTTGATTTGGATGCAAATATTTGCATGTAGCATCAGATTGTTTAAACTAACCCAGAACACCACACAATCTACTAGGGAGAATCTAAATCAGGATGTTGATAGATCCAGGGTGCCCTAATCAGATTTCTCTTGAGTCTCGGTGTAAATAGCCTTGCATTGGTGTGGTGACAGGGTTAGGGACCTTCTAGAAAAGCTAGTTTTGGAGTCTGTAGTTCAGCCATGACCCAGCAGCTAAGATTGGCTGGTTGTGTTATTCTCACTCCATTGGTTGGAACTGAATCACATGGCCACACTCAGTCCCTCCAAGGGAGGCTGGGAAATGTAGTCTTTTATCCCACAGACTCTGTCCCCTTAGGCTCTGTGTGTATATGAGTTCACTTTCCCTAAACTCAGGGGCCTTCAAGACCTTTTTTCCATGTCCACTGCTCCAGCCAGGTGATCCATAAGGGTTTCTGAGCCTGCTCTTCCTGGACAGGAAGGAGAGAGGGCAGGAGAGATGGAAGCCATGCAGTGGCACTGTGGGACATACCGGAAATGGGGAGGCAGGATGCAGTAAACCCAACACAGGAAGATGGCAGGGAGGAAGTGACCACAGCAGGGGCCTTGTAGCATCTCCCACCACCACCCCCTCTTCTCTGTTCCCCTGCCTGCCTGCTGGTGCCTGAGCATTTAGGGACATGATATGAGTGGGAAATGTCCCCCGTTGGCTCATGTATTTAAGCACTTGGTCCCCACCTGCTGCTGCTGTTTTGATGTTTCGGAACTTTTGACACCTGGCGGTTGACATGTGGCAGCTGACATGTGGTGGCCTGGCTGGCTGGAGTAGGTCACTAGACCTGACAGTTATACCCTGTTCTGGTTCAGTCTGAGTTCTCTTTTCTGGCTTGCTGAAGTGTGAGGAGGCCTTGTGCTCCTCCTCCACGCCTTCCCTACGATGATGTACTAAAACCGTTCCAAAACTGGGCACGTCCCTCAGCCTTCCCCTGCTTGTTTCTAGCAGGTACTGGGCCACGGTACACACATGTGAGTTTGGGGAAGGCTCACAGGTGCTACTGTACCCAGCAAAGCCCAGACCTCTCAGTCACTCTGCTGAGGGGCAGGGAATGTCCCGGATGAAGCCTTAACCCACAGTAAGCAGTGTCGTGTGGACGTGTAAATGACCTCCACCTTCTACCCGGAAACGGTCCCTGAAGACCTAGGCCCTCTTGGGAACCAGTCCTCCAAGCACAGATCCTGGGTGTCTTATACATGTGCTGCTATTAAAGCCTACCCCACAGAGTTTATTAGCACAAAGGAGGGGTGGTGTGACTATATATACTCCTTCCCACTCTAAGGGGTTCTGAGGAAACAGGCTGGACCAAGGTCTCGGAAAGCAGTATTTCTAGTACGTTCCAAGGCTGGGTTGGTGCTGCTGTGGGAAACACACTTTGAGATGCTCTGACCAGATGTACCCTATAGCATGTCCTCTTGGGCTCTAGGTGATCCAGTAGCAAAAGGCCTGTTAAGAGAAAACGCCTTCTGATCAAGAGAATAGGATCACTGGTTCCAGTGGAGACCTAACATTCCAGTTGAGCCTGGTCATTCACTTGTTCAAGGGACCCCTAGGAAGGCAGGCTCACCTTAAGCCATGCTAAACAGACAGAGGGCTGGAGAGATAGCTCAATTGTTAAGAGCACTGGCTGCTCTTGCAGAGGACCCAGGTTCAATTCCCAGCACCCACATGGCAGCTAACAACCATCTGTAACTCCAGTTCCAGGGAATATAAATCCAACACCCTCTTCTGACTTCCTCGAGCATTGCACAATACAGGTGCACTTACACACATGTGGGCAATACATTCAATCACATAAAATTAAAATGCTAAATAAAATTTTAAAAAAGAGATGGACATAATAATTAGTCCTTGATAAGACAACGTACTTTTCCTTCCCAGAATCCCGACCCCTGGTGCAGTACCTGCTAAGCAGCTTTGTACATCTGCCTGCATTTCCAAATTACTCAGAAAAGTGTAACTGTTCCTTTTCCTCTCTAAGCACACTGTCCCCAGCACTCTGGGCTTCCCCAACATTTTGGACATCTTACTCTTTCTCTAAAGCCCCCCCGCGCCCCCCCATGGCTGCTAGTCTGCCATGTGTCTGACCTCCACACTGACTTAACTAGCCTGGCTTTTTCTTTCTCCCCTCCATGACCCTCCTCCTGGCAGCTGCTGAGATTTACAGCTTACCTGCCTTGAGGGGTTTCCTTTTAAACTCTAAAAAAGTTGTCCTTAAGATTCCACTGGAGTCCATTCTTTTTTTTAATTAATTTATTTTTATTTAATGTGTATAAGTGTTTTGCCCGCATATATGTTAAGTCATACAATGCCCACAGAGGCCAGAAGAGGGCATCGGATCCCCTGGAACTGGAGTTATTGATGGTTGTGAGCTGCAATGTGGGTGGGTGCTGGGAGCTGAACCTGCAGCCTCTGCAAGAGCAGCCAGTGCTCTTAACTGAGCCATCTCTTCAGCCCCTGAAGTTGATTCTTCTTAAATTACTTTATTAATGAGGCTAAGAACGCCAAGAGAGGACCCCGATTTCCCCTGTATCATCGGTATGTGCCACTTCCCCTGGCCCAGGAAGCAGGCTAATCCTTCATTCACTGGGATAGCACTTTTGCACCTGTGAGATGCCCGGTCCTGAGCCAGACTGGTTGTGACCATGGGGAAGACCTTGTATCTGGAGCAGAGGTGGGTGAAAGGGTAGCCCATCGGGGAGGGGGGCCTGCTCACCTGCAGAGCTTCTAACACCTGACTCTCAGACCTGCAAGCCTTGACCTGCTAATTCACACATTTATAAAGCAGCTGCAACCCCTAGGTTCAGTCACTTGCCAATTCAGTCACTTGTCTGCAGTCCTTGCCTCGAATGGGGTGGGGTTTCTCTTGGCAGCCCTGGACAGGCCACACCCAGTCAGTCAGGCTTGTCCTAGAAGGAAGAAACCTGAAGCAGACGGAAACACAGAAACAAAGCACCAGGCCCACACAGGGAGGTGAGGACAGGTCCAGGAAGCATGTTTAATTGGCCAGACACAGACGACATACAGGGAGCAGGGAGGAGGCCTGGACATACAACAAAGCCCATCACCCCTGGCCCACACCACCAGGTGAGGGCCTCCCTTCCCCCCAAGACACAGACAGGGCAGCACCCCAAAATGAGACTTCAGGAGTGGTGTGAAGGCAAGCAGGAGAGGACACAGACAACCACAGCCAGAACACACTGCCTTTCTGGGATTTGTTTTTGCAAGTTACCCAAAATTCTTTCCAAAGCTGAAGGACCCAGATGCAGCACTAACAACTCAGACCACTCTGATGGGCACCAACCCATCATCTCTGAAAGGAACTCTGGTTGTCACATTCAGTCAGCCCTCACGACACCCCTCCGAGGTGCCAACCTCCCATCTGAGACAGGGAAAAACTCATCTAATGAAGAGAACTGGTCGCCCAAGTTCCACAGAATTTGGGAACTGAGTTTGTTGGGGAGTGAGGTGGGGAAGGGTACTGGTGTTGCCCCCCACCACCCTAGAGAGCAGACAGAGCCTGAACCTAATACCAAGACAGAAGGTGGGACCAGCTGTTTATTCAACAAAAGCCTTTTATTCATTCAAAAATTAACCATTGGGTTTATTCCGCAGATATTTAAAAAAAAAAAAAAAAAAAGAGGGAGGGAAAGGCTTCCCACTGTGTTATTCTGTTAATTACCTTGCCAGTCTGATTATGTAGCAAAGGGGCAGGTGGGGGACTGCTGCCAATAACGTGGGGCTGGGGGCCCAGGGCCCTCTGGAATCACAGCCCCCTCCAATCCCAGCACCTGCAAAGCCCCCAGGTGTCACTGCAGATCATCACCACCAGGGGGCGTCCCTGTGCATCCTTCAATCTCATAAATACACTGGGAAGGAACATGGTAGCTTTCCACTTGGCCAAGGGGGGGGGCTTTCTCTGGAGAGATGCTGGGGATCCCCAGGCACCTCACACCCCACCATCCCCTTGAAGAGACAATGTCCTCGAAATCCCAGGTGCACCTTCCTAAGAAATCGACTGTCAAACTGCAAAGCACTCAGGGAAGAGATGTCATTTGATGTTATTTTAAATGTCACCTGATTAACTATCTGAAAGTCATGACGCTCTCCTAAGTCACCATCAACACAAAGTGGGGAGCAGATACTGGGAAGAAGAGATGGGACCACAGCAGGCCACCTGAAGCTGGTCCCTGGCCCCAGGAAGGAGGGTCTGCGGAGGGCCCAGAAGCCTGGCCTCACAGGCTAGACCCTCCAAAGAGAGCAGCATCAGATGGGGTGGGGCATCGGGCTGCTCACGAGGGGCCTGGCCTCAGATTCTGGGTGAGCTGTGTACCACAGCTAAAGGCTGGTGAAAGAAAAGTCAGTCAGTATGCAACGTTAAATAAAAGCGACCAGTGTCTGAAGAAGGCAGCCCAGGCCCATCTCAGTGCCCAAGGTTTGGGCCCAGGACATATAGGGCTGCAGTGCCCAAGGACATAATCTTTAAAGACCAAAATCCAAACTGGAGGCTGCAAACCAAAAGATCAAGATGTTGGGAGGAAGGCCAGGCCCACAGACCACTCAGTGGATGCCTCAGCTGAGGGGTTCTGTGCTTAACCCTACAGTCCTCAGCCAGGAGTCACGGGGTCTCAATGCTCCCAGACAGCTGCTAACAGAGAGGGCATCTGCGGCTCCAGAGGTCCAAGAAAGGCCTGCTCTCATCTTCTCCACCCTAAATCACCACAACCACCAATCTCCTAGGGGCCCTGTTACAGCCAGGCTGAGGCCCTGTAGCCATCAGTGGTGAGAACTCGTCTTCCTGAGCCAGTGACTGAGCCAGAAGCTGACCAAAGGGGCCTCCAAGAAAGTTGCCTGTGCAAGTGCGGCCCTGTGAGATCGGGGGGAGGGGGGCAGTGGGCTCCACACAAGCAAGGGGCCTTCTCAGAGCTGACTGAGCATCTCACCCCAAAGAAATGGACAGGCAGGACAGAGCTACCTCTTTATGGAGGTCATCCATCTGGGGGAAGGCTGCTCACCCAAGGGTGATTGGCAGGGGAGATTCTGGCCTCCCAGAAGTGAATGGAGATCAAAAGATTCAGAGCAGAACAGAAATCAGGGGCTGTTTTCCCCTCTCAAGGGTGAGCAGAGAGGCTGTGTACTTTACAAAGTAGAAGTAAGAGCTGTGGGTCCAGACCAGGTTCTCAGCAATGAATGCCTGGGAAACCTTCCCAGGGCGAGAATGAGTTCTAGGCTAAAAGGAGCTTAAGAGTCTAGGGAACACTAAAGGGAGGCGCAAGGGGGCGCTACCAAACACAGCCAGCCTCTGAGCAGACCCCACACTCAGGCAACAGAGGACTGTGCTCAGGGACCAAATCAGGGCCATGCTGTCACTCAGACAACCCAGAGCCTGGCAAATGCAACCACAGAGCAGTGTCACAAATGCAAGAGCCTGAGCTCCAGACCAAGAATCAGACAGTGATGGCATGGAAGGTGGCCTTCAGGAACTACCACCAGGCCTGCCACTCTGCTGACCCTCTGCTGAGGCCCAGAGAAAGCAAAGAATTATTCAGAATCACAGAGCTAACTCAGCCTCGGGCTCCTCACCTCCTGTCCAGGGTTGCCTGATAGTCCCGGTGACAGCTGTAGGGCCATTCCTGACTCTGGATGTGGCCCTCAAGATCAAGGAACCTGTCCTGGGTCCCTCCTCTCATTCCCCTCCCCCCAACATCCTAGCAAAGGAAAAACCCACATAGCCTACTGCTAAAGGTAGATAGAGGCAGGAAAGCAACAGATGGGTTCAGGGGTACTCGCACCCCTCCGCAACAAGGAAACAGAGGCCTCGTTACTTCTGCCAGATGTTTTCGGAGAAAACGACTCCATACTCTCCACTGCGTGCTGATGCCTTTTTCCCGGCTTCTATTCTTGGGACAAGGCTCCCCATTTTCTCACTGCTTCGAACACCAGAGCAAGAGTTGCCAATCAAAAAAATGCCTCATATGTCCTTGAAAAAAAATGTTATGGACCCAAAGAGGGCAGAGGAGAGAGGTAGGGATGACAGGGCATCAGCAAAGGGGAAGAGGGTGGGAACAGCACACTAACCGTTCAGGAATGCCCACCTTCCCCTCTCCAAATGTGGAACACAGTATCTGCATAAAAGAGAGAAAAAAGAGGGTTTTTGGCTTCTTGGCCGCTGCAGGCCACCATCCTCCCAAATGAGGTGGGCAGGTAGTGAGGGTATGCACATGTAAACGGAAGCCCAGAGTCCTGGGAGCTTTGGACACACGAGGCAGCAGCAATAGTTAACAACCAATAAATAAAAAGGTATCGATTATATATGAGTAAAAAAAAAAAACTCACTTTCCCCACAAAACACACAATACTGTTAGTGATCACATGGGCCACCAATTACCAACCATCCTTGCCTGCTGATGGCCTCGCTGCAAAAGGCTGGGCTGGGACAGCGCTCACCAGGCAGCCCCGGCCCCCAGCCACCGCCGCAGGGGACCAGGAAGAGGCCTTCTGGTCAGTATCTTCTATAACAGAAGGTTGTTTGTTTCACAATGTCCATTTGAAATAAAGAAATGAATACACACACGCAGGAGAGCAGGAGGGACGGGGCGGCTGCCGGAGCAGGGCAGCCGAGTCCTTAGTTTTGCAGAGGGCTGGAGCCTTTTCCATTTCGGTTTGTCGTTGTTTCGGACAAGCAGAGGTTGTTGACAATTGAAGCCAGTGGCTTCAGGCGGCAGGTGGGTGCAGGGCAGGGGGAAAGAGAGCCGGGGCCTGGAGGCTCAAGGGCAGCCGGCTGTGTGTGGATGAGGAAGAAGGCTGGGTGGGCACAGGGGAGGTGTCAGGCTGCGGTGGCCTCATGGCACAGGAAGAGGCAAGTGGTTCCCAGACATCTACAAGACAGAAAGGCAGGATGTGTTAAGACCCAAACAGAGGGCAGGTCCCTGAGGGCCCAGCTTCTTTTTATTTTAATGTATATGAGGGCTTTGCCTGTAAGTATATAAGTGCGTGCAATGCCTGCAGAAGCCAGAGAAGGTGTCAGGGCCCCTGGAACTGAAGTTATGGAAGGTCGTTAGCTGCCATGTGGGTGCTGGGAACTGAACCCAGGTCCTCTGAAGGTGGAGACAGTGAGAAACTTAACCACAGTGGAAGGCTTCCAAGACACAGTGACCCAAAAGTAATTCAGAATTAAACACATCATGAATCCAAGGCGTTTCTGGGGGTGCTGGCCCCTGTGCTTGCCCGTGTTGCATCATGTGACTTCAGTGCACCCTTGCTCCTAAACACAACCTGTGAACTTGGTGGCATCATGCCATACAACACGAGCAAACGTTGCCCGAAACATCTCGGGTTTGACGCATGTGTGCGATGAACTGTGGTTTTATTGTCTATACAAAGTTTTCTGCTCATATGGAAACATGGTTTAGAATGCTTCATTTTAAAATTGCTGTTTGAGGTCCCATCCCTAGCTGAGGAGTTATTGGCTGGCCAATGGCTGCTGGGGGTGGGGGAGTCACTTCTTCAGTTGGGCTCCAGTAAATAACCCCACATCCATGTTTATGCAAGCAACCCTAACTAAACTTAGTGGGTCATTTAAAAGAAAAAAAAAGATACTAAATACTTGTTGAAGGGGCTGGAGAGATGGCTCAGCAGTTAAGAGCACTGGCTGCTCTTGCAGAGGATCTGGGTTTGATTCCCAGCATTCACATGGCAGCTAACAACCATCTGTAACTCCAGTGCCAGGGGAATCCAATGCCCTCTTCTGGCCTCCATAGGAATTGCATGCATGTGGTGTATGTACTTACACAAGCAAGCAGAACATTCATATACATAAAATAAAAATAAATCCAAAAACAAAGACTTGTTTAGAAGAAGAAGGGTTCCAGAGGGAGGAGGAGATAAAAGAGGTGAATATAATCAGAACACATTAAATGTTCAGGCATGGTGGCACACACCTTTAATCCAGCACTCAGGAGGCAGAGGCAAGCAGGTCTCTGTGAATTCGAGGGCATCCTGGTCTACATAGCCAGCTCCAGGCCAGCTAGAGCTATACAAAACAAAACAAAACAAAAAAGTGACAGAAAATAAAAAAGCCCGCATTACATACACATATGAAATTGTCCAGGAATACATTTTAAATTTTTTAAGCTGTTCTTTGAGTGGGTGACCAGAGTTTGTATTTTTTTTAATTATTAAATTAATTTTGGCCTGGGATTAGGACAGAATTTTCAATAATCTCTGGTATTTCCCCAAACATACTTGGGCTGTTCCGTACTATGTACTTATGTAAAGCTGTGTTCTCAGTACTGAGGATTATAAAATCAAAATATCCATTAATTCTCAAAAATACTGACAATGCCGTGTCCTGGAGTATCAGCTATTTAGCCATGATTTAATTCTTCATGCAAAAATAAACAGCATCGACGGGCGTGGTGGCGCATGCCTTTAATCCCAGCACTTGGGAGGCAGAGGCTGGCAGATCTCTGTGAGTTCTGGTCTACATAGTAAATTCCAGGCCAGCTGGGGCTGCAGGGAGACCCTGTCTCAAAAAGAAAACACAACAACAACAACAACAGAAAAACAGCCCATTTCATTCATATGCAAATTCACTTTGGTCTTAATGGTGAAATTATATGTAAACCATACAATTGCTTTTCAAGTACATTTCTTTATAATTTATTATCAGTACATCTTTGAGGTGTGTGCTTACTTTATATATCTAAATACCCAGAATTGTGTAAACATTTCTCAGTAAAAAGGGGGTCACAAATGGAAAAAGTTTAAAAGCCTTACAATTAGAAGGTAGGTAAGGTGGGGTTCAGGGCCTGTGCGTGACCTCTGACTCACCCACTGGGTGGGTGACAACAAACTTAGCCCTAAGAAAGAAATTAGATGCTCACCACAGCACCACCAAGATCAGGAAAGGGGAGGGTCCCAGATAGCAAATATATATATGGCTGAGGATGAGGCTCGGTGGTAGAGTGTTGCGTAGCATGTACACAAGGCCCTAGATTCCATCCCCAGCTCCATCAAAATCAAGCACACAGGTAAGGGCTGTAGGTCAGCTGGTAGAGTGCTTGCCTAGCATTCACAAAACCCTTAGCTTGGTTCCCAGTACCACATAAAACTGAGCATGGTGGTGCACACCTGTAATCCCAACACTTGATGGGAGTAGAGGCAGGACGGTATGTTTTCATACCTGAGCTACATATTGAGTTGGAGGCTAGCCTGGGCAACACAAAACCCTGTCTCCAAAAAAAAAAAAAAAAGCAAATAAATATTTCTAGTTATATGCAGCAGTACTGAACACAACAGCCAAAAGTTAGACCAACTTTCTATAGGCAGGTGAGCAGCTAAACAATAGTGGTAGATCCACTCAATGGAGTCATCTAGTCATAAAAAGGAATGGAACCAGGCGTGGGGGTGCGTACCTATAATCCCAGCATTTGAGAGACTGAGGTAGTAGGATTGTAGTGAGTTTGAGACCAGTCTCGGCTACACAGTGAGATGTTGTCTCAAACAAACAAACATCAAGGAATGAAGTTGTGGCACACGCTACAACATGGGTAGACCTGGGAAACATGCTAAGGGAGAGAAGACAGACTCAAAAGGCCACACTCAAAAGAGGCAGATCCAAAAAGACAAAGCAGACTGGCCGGCAGGGCTGGTGGGAAGAAGCTGGGTGTGGAGTTTGATTTTAGAGAGGGCCAATCTGTTAGAACCAGGGAGAGGTGGTGGTTGCATAACTTTGTGAATGTACTAAGTACTCCTATACTGTTTGGTCTCTGTGTGTGTGTGTGTGTGTGTGCGTGTGTGTGTGTGTGTATGTACATACAACCCAGAGCCTTTCATGTACTCTACCACTGCAACATCACTAGCTTTCACTCTCCATATATATGAGATTATATATACATTTTTTTAAATCATTGATACAGGTTCTCATTCAATTGCCCCAAGCAGACCTTGAACTTACTCTGTACCCCACACAGGCCTTGAACTCAAGAGCCTCCAGCCTTAGCCTCCTTGCTAGGCTGGACGACAGGCCTGGCCTGGCTGAACGACCAACTTTAAAACGGTTGCTTTTTGCCAGTTGTGGTGATGCACGCCAGTAGACTATGCTGAAGAGGCAGGAGGATCATGAGTTCGAGCCCAGCCTGGGCTACACATTTAAAATGGCTGCTTTTCTACAATGTGAGTTTATCCCTCAATGATTTTTTTCAAGTACATAGGGTGTCCTCATGTATGTTACAATCTGTGTCATCCACAGAACCATCCCTGTCACCAGCCTCACAGCTGTGTCCATGTCACACGTCCTCTCAGCCTCTTGACTGCACAGCAGAGGGAACCTGTCCCAATGGACTTCAGCTTCCTGATCTGTGAGGATCTGAGACCCTTATCTGGGCCAATCTGGTTTCTCTCTTAGGGATGAGAACTGACTGGCAGGAAGGAGGTAGCCGTAGAGGAAGAAGGAAGTCCCCACTGGGTGAGAGCTGGCAGGCCACTATGGTCAGGGGTAAAGGGGGGGATAGGACAGGGCAGTTGCTAGAGAGGCCAGTGCCCCAGTGCGGCCTCCCTTTGGGCTGCCCTTCCTGTGCCCTCTTTACCTGCTCTGGCTCTGCCGACTTCTCCGCACTGTTCGCTGCAGCTCAAGGCCTCTCTATCTCTAGACATTCCAGAACCTTTTGTTCCCGCTGCTGTTGTTTTGAGACAGGATCTCACACTGTTGCCCAGGCTGGCCTTGAACCCAAAGCTATCTTCCTCCCTCAGCCTCCTGAGTGCTGGGATGGCAGGCATGAGTCTCCACACCCACCTAGAAGCTCTGACTAAGATGTGACTCATGTCAAAGAATATTCCACACAGCATTGCATCTGCTGGTAAAAAGCTCATCAGATACATTCAAAGCCAGAAATTCACAGTGATACATTCTTTTTTAATGTCATTGGTTACTTCCAGAAATTTAAGAAAAACAATTTATTTGGGGCTTGGAAGATAGCTCAGTTGATAAAATGCCTGCCATACATGCATAAAGATCCAAGTGTGATCCCTAGCACCCCCGTGAAAAAGCTGAGCGGGGTGCGTGTGCTGGTAACCCCAACTGGGGCTCGCCGGCCAGCAGTCCAGCCTTAGTGGTGCGTTCTGGGCTCAGTGACTAAGGTGGAGCGCGATAGAGGAAGACACCCAGAGTTAACCTGTGTCTCCACACATGTACGTACAGGTGTGCATGCACGAGCACGTGCACTCGTGCACGCACACAGAAAAACAAACTCCTGAAGGAAAAGACACAGCGTCCAGCGTGCTTCTCAGGGTGAGAAAATCTCAGTCAGGGCCAGGTTTCCGGGGCAGAGTAGGACTCTTTCTGTTATGGGACAGAGCTGGGAAGACCACAGCAGCTCGTTCTCCATACCTGTGCCAAGGCATGGGCACATGCTCCTGAGCACACACTCAAAATATATAAAATGAAAGAGAACTCTGGCCGCTAAAGTATTCACTGTGACTGTCTAGGTCAGCTAGGAAGGTTTTTAAAGTAAGCTTTTTAATTCATCACATTTATTTTCAATGATGTTTTCTTTGTAAACATCAATTTCATTGTCTTGTCAATGTGAGACATTAGAATCGATGCTTACATCTATGTAAAGCAATATTTTGTTTGTTTGTTGAGACAGGGTCTCTCTGTAGGCTCAGCTGGACTGGAATTTGTTACGTAGACAAGGATGGCTTCAATCTTACAGAGATCTATCTGTCTGCCTCTGCCTCCTAAGTGCTGGGGTTAAAGGCATGTGCCACCAAGCTTGGCTTTGTGTAAAGTAATATTTAATGGAGGGGCTGAAGAGATAGTTCAGCATTCAGAGTGCTTATTGCTCTTGCAGAGGACCTGGGTTTCGTTCCCAGCACCCACCTCAGGTGACTCACAACCACCTATATCTTCAGTTCCAAGGTGATCAGACACCCTCTTCTGGCCTCCAATGGCACCCCCACATACACGGCAGACACATACATATACACATAAATAAAAATAAAATAAATATTTTATTAAAAAGTAATACTGGGGCTGGAGAGATGTCTCAGCAGTTAAGAGCACGTGCTGCTCTTACAGAAGACCTGGGTTCAAATCCCAGCACCCACATGGCAGCTAACAATTGTCTATAACTCCAGTTCCAGGGGATCCGACACCCTCTTCTGTCCTCTATGGGTACTGCACGACACAGATGCACTTACACACATGCAGGCATAACACTCATACTCATAAAATAAGATTTTTTTAAAAACTTTAAGTAATATTAATAGAAGCTCAAAATGGATCTCAGCCTTTGACAGGCAGTTCTATAGGGTGCAGGGTATGCTGCCTTCCCAGTCCCCTGGCCCTGACTGCTAACTGTGTCTTCAGCCCAGGGAAACTTATTTTCAAGCAAACCAGAGGCTGAATCTGGGTATATAAAAATGACACATACCCTGGGCTCCCTTCCAGGTGGACAGACCTCCCAAGCACCCCCAAAATGCAGAGAGTCAGTTGCCCACACACCCCCACGCCCACCCCCATCCTGAGGCCCCTCCCACTCACCCCAGCTCAGGGCCTGGACTATACCAGCCCATCGTAGAGAGACAGTGCCTGCACAATGGAGGGGTCAGCCTTGGAACCTTCCTGAAACTCCTGCAGCGTCAGCTTCCCATCCGCATTCTGGAAGCAGAGAAATGGTTCAAAGTAGGGGCTCCGCGTCTAGGACAGGCATCTCCAGCCAAGCCCGCCCTGGACTGGTCTCAAGAACTTCCTGAGTGGAGTAGGGCTCTCAGAGGAGGACTGAAGGCAACATGGGACACACCTGGTACTTGCTGGCCAGTGACCCTAGACCTGATCCACCCCTCTGGGCCTCTGGTTCCATCTGGGGACCTAGGAGAGGCACATGGCAGGCCTGGGAAATGAGGCCCACGCATGCCAACCTAAGCCACCCCCAGCTCCCAGTTTTTCATCAGCCAAGTGGCTACACCAGTTCATACCCATTCTGTATTTTTACTGCTATTAATTTCCCCCAAATGAGCTGGGCCTGGTGGTGTAGGCCTGTAATCTCAGCCACCTGGGAGACCCAAGCAGAAGGCCTGTCAATTCAAGACCTGGGTTATAGAGTACATTCAAGGCCAACTTGAGAAACTTAGAAAGACCCAGTCTCAAAATAAAAAGTTACACAGTTGGGAGTATAGCTCAGTGGTAGAGTGCGCAAGGGAGGTCCTAGTTCAATGCTCATCTTAAAAAAAAAAAATCCCAGGACTTAGGGGGATGGTTCAGTCAGTAAAGTGGTTGCCATGCAAGCACGAGGACCTGTGTTCAATCCCCAGCATGTGTGTAAAACTGTCAGACATGGTGGCAGGCGCTTGTAAGCTCAGCCCTGGGAAGGCAGATACAGGAGGAGCCTTGAGGCTCACTGGCCAGTCAGCCTAATAGAATTAGCAGGCCCCAAGTCCCAGTGAGAGATACTTTCTCAAAAAAAAAAATAAAAAGATGAGCCCTGGGTTCCATTCCCAGCACTCACATGGCAGCTAACAACCATGCGTAACTCCAGTTCCACGGGATCCGATGCCCTCTTCTGATCTCTGTGGGCACTGCATGACACAGGTGCACTTACATATATGTAGGCAAAGCACTTATATACATAAGATAAAAATAATAAAATATTTTTTTAAAAACCAAACTGGGGCCAGGCATGGTGGTGCATGCCTTTAATCCCAGCTCTCAGGAGGCAGAGGCAGGCGGGTCTCTGTGAGTTCAAGGCCAGCCTGCTATACATACTGATTTCAAGAATAGCCGGGGCTTTGAGGAGGCCCTGTTTAAAAAAGCCCCCCCCCCAAAAAAAAAAAAAAAAACAAAGCGGGGGATGAATCAGTGGTTCAGAGGACTGGCTACTGCAGAGGACAACTCTGTTCCCAGCAGCCATGTCAAGCAGTTGCCAGTAACTATATAGCTCCAGAGAGTCCAACACCCTCTTCTGGCCTCTGTGGGCACACAGAAGCATTCACATTCACACATTCACACACACACACACACACATATAAATCTTTAAAAACAACAAGGTGGATGGCTTCTTTTAGAAGCATTCACATTCACACATTCACACACACACACATATAAATCTTTAAAAACAACAAGGTGGATGGCTTCTTTGCTTTGTTTGTTTTTGTTTTTGTTTGACAGGATCTCCCTAGTCTCAGCCTGCCTAGAACTCAGTATGTAGACCAGGCTGGTCTCGAATTCTCAGAGATCTGCCAGCCTCTGCCTCCACCACCCAAGGGTTAGGATTAAAGGCATGGTTTGGTTTGGTTTGGTTTGGTTTGGTTGGGTTGGGTTGGGTTGGGTTTGGTTGGATTGGGTTGGTGGTTGGGTTGGGTTGGGTTGGGTTGGGTTGGATTGGATGGCTTCTGAGGGAGGATATCCAAGGTCAACTTCTGGGTTGCATGCACACATGCACACATGTCCCATAAATGGTGGTCAACCCTCAAAGCATCTTCTTGGGGTCTCTTTTAGAAGGGCAGTTAAGCCATCCCTGGAGCAGGCCACATCAGGTCCTGGGAGGCCTGGGATGGAGCTCAATTGGAAACATGCAAGGCACAAAGGCACTTTGACTGTATCTTCAGGAAGGGAGGCTGAGCCTGGCTCTCCACCCCTAAAGGCCTTGGCACCACTCACTGATCTTCCAGAGTTAATGCCAGGCACTGCCCAGCCTGACAGGCACCACACAGCCCTAAAAGGCCAATCTCGCAGTGGCTTAGAGCCTGCACCTGTGAAGCACTGTGTGTGCCAGAGCCTTTGAATCCTCAGGCCCTATAAAGAGGGTAGATGAGGACACCGGTCCAGGGTCACCTACCCAGAGTCCCACAGCTGATGAATGGGACAGCCACACCTGTAAGTTGGACTCCAGGATCTGTCTTGTTTCCCAAAACAGGGTGTGACTAAGGAGGACTTACAGGTGCACAGCCTTGGCAAGAATCAATATGGGGTCATACCACATGAGGGCTGCCTCTGCTTCTGCACTGGGTGTAGAAATCTTTTGAGGACACCAGGAGTCCAGGTCTGCCCCTCCTATGTGCTAATCTCCCCCTCTTAATTAAGAGCTCAGTGCTTTCTGGGCAAGCCTGAGTACCTGCTGGGTACCAGCCAGCAGGCATTCAGAAGCCCTCAGGAACCGAGGTTTGTATTCTCATAAAGGCTAGCAGAGCTCTTTCTTCACCCCATGATTTCAAATTCCCAAGTAATTCAAAGTTATTTTAGTCTGAAAAATATGTTTCAGGTTGGGGGTATAGCTCAGGAGCAGGGCACGGGCTTTTTGCATTTGAGGCTCTGATGTAATCCTCAACACCATCAGAAAAGAGGGAGTCACAGTTCTGCAGCCAAGAAAAGAGAGGCCAGGGGGATGGCGCAGCGGGTGAAGGGCTTGCTCTGCAGGCATGAAGACCTCAGTCCGACCCCCAGCACCTAAGTAAAAGCCAGGCATGTAGGCCTGTAACCCCAGAGCTGCAGGCAGAGGCAGGGATAGGGGGATCTCTAGGGCTCAATGGCTAGCCAGTCTAGCTGAATCAGTGAGCTCCAGGCTCAGTGAAAGACCTCGCCTCAAAAACTGAGGTGGAGAGGGGCTGGCATGCTCACCTTTAATCCGCACAGAGGCAGGAGGATCTCTGTGAGTTCCAAGCCAGCCTGGTCTACATAGTGAGTTCCAGGACAGCCAGAGCTACATAGAAAGACTATTGTGAAAGTTATAAAAAAAATAAATAAATAAAAATAAGGCAGAACGTGATAGAGGAAGACACTGGCCTCCACACATGTACATGTTCAGTAGTACACACACACACACACACACACACACACACACACGAGAAGGTATTTCTTTTTACATATATTTTTTAATGTGTATGAGTGTATTACCTGCATGTATGTAAGTGCATTAGTGTCATGCAATGCCCACAGATGTCAGAAAAGGGCATAGGATCCCCTCAAACTGGAGTTATGGACAGCTGTTAGCTGCTGTGGGTAAGGGGAATCGAACTCGGGTCCTCTCTGCAAGAGCAGCCAGTGCTCTTAACCGCTGAGCCATCTCTCCAGCCCCTAGAAAGCAGTATTTCATTCCCTGAACCAGAGCTGCAGCTGTCCCCTGCAGGTAAACCTGATGGCAGCCCCAAGAGCTGCGGCGAATATCAAAGCTCCGACAGGATGGGTGGTTTGGCCTACTGCGACTTTTTCGCTTGTGCGGTGCTGGGGATGGAACTCCTCAGGCTAGGCAAGCACTCTGCGGCGAAGCCCCACCCCGGCCCCACCTAGCATCATTTTATGGTTTAGTGAGTAAATAAAAAGGCTCAGGGTGCCACCTCACAGATTCTTTTTAAAAGACACCTTGAGAGCTGCATTCTTAAACTTAGGTCCCTTTTCATGGTAAGGATTATGTTATACACTCATGACTGTTATTCTAACAGTCATAGAGCTCTGCAGAACTCCAAAAGGGTCCAGGACAGAAAAGCAAAGGCCAAGAGCCCCGGTTAATTACAGGGAACCAGTCGACCAAACTTAATAGACAGCCTAGACATATGATGGAAATGGCTGCTGGCTGCAGGGTGTGACACCGGGCTGACTGGCCTGAAGCAGTCTCCCAAGGGTCAGTGGAAAAGGGCAGGCCCAGGGTCCTTGCCCCCATCTCACCTTGTCCATCATGGCGAAGATCCGGTCCACCCTCTTCTCTGGCGTGTTCTCCTCTTCTGGGAGCTCCACAGTGTTCCCCTGTGAAGGACAGCACACACAAGGGTTGGTGGATGTGGCTGGGCTGGCGCTCTGGCCTTTCGACTCTTGGTTGGACCGCTGCCTCGCCACCCTGGGCTGGGTACCTATGAGGACCACCTCTCTCCCGTTCTCCAGCCCTGCCACTTTTCAAAGGAACAGTTCAGCCACCCCAGCCCCACTACCTACTTAACCCCCTGCCTGACCCCCAGGTGGAGACATCCAGGGCCGTTTATCTGGTAGTCCTTGGCTGGCCCACATGGTCCACAGGCAGGGGAGTGGCTCTGGAGGTTCCCCTGGACCCCGCGGGTCACAACTGTCATGGCCTCCTCTCACATCGTCTTAGGCCCCCATCCTCTGATGACTTCCCTGCCATCTCTCAAGGACTTACCACCATCTGGTAAATGGCATCCACTATGTCCAGCATTTCATTTCTGGTGATGTAGCCATCGTTATCCAAGTCATAGAGCTTGAAGGCCCCTGTGATCAACCAGAGAGATGGGGGTCACCCTGGCCCAAGGCAGCAGGCACACCTCCCCTCCCCTTCCGAGTGCCTCAACACAAAGTCTGGACTCAGATGGTCCCACTTGCCTTCAGGCCAATATGTGATTATACTGGGGTACACACACATGTACCCCCAGTGCAGCCAGGGTTAAAGATAAAAGAAACACAAATGGGGCTGGAGAGATGGCTCAGTGATTAAGAGCATTGGGTGTTCTTGCAGAAGACGTGGGTTCGATTCCCAGCACCCACATGGCAGCTAACAACTGTCCATAACTCCAGTTCCTCTTCTGATCTCCGTAGACACTGCACAACACAGGTGCACTTACACACATGCAGTCAATACACTCATATACATAAAAGCATAATAAATAAAATATTTTTTTAAAGGAAACACAAATGTGGGAATTGGGAGCGGTGGCTCATGCCTATAATCCCAGCACTCGGAAGGTGGAAGATCAAGAGTTTGAGGACAGCTGGGGCTACATAGTGAGTTCTAGACCAGCCTGGGCTACAAAGTGAGAGACCTTGCCTTAAAAACCCCAGGGCTGGCCAGGTGTGGTGTTGTATGCCTTTAATCCCAGCACTCGGGAGGCTAAGGCAGGTGGATCTCTGTGAGTTCAAGGCCAGCCCGGTCTACATAGTGAGTTCCAGGACAGCTGGGGCTACAGGGAGAACCGATCTCAAAAACAAAACAAAACAAAACAAAAAAACCCAGGGCTGGAGTTGTAGCTCAGTGATGGAGTATTTGCCTAGATGCAAAAGGTCCTGGGTTCCATCCCCAGCACTCAAAACTAGCAACAACTACCGGGCATGGTGGCACATGCCTTTAGTCCCAGCACTCAGGAGGCAGAGGCAGGGGAAATCACATGATTCCACCAGCTCTAGCTCTAAGAAACCTTATGGTCTCTAGGCAGGAGCAGAAATACCTTCCAAAAAAAACCAAAAAAAAAAAAAAAAAAAAAAACTAGTAACAACAGCAACAATAATAATAAACAAAAAATGCAGACACTGATCTACCAGGACTGAGGCCATGGCTGGAGTGGCCTGTGTTAGGGAGTATGATCCTCAGAGAGGGACAAGTTGGGATTCACTGGGGGAGAGTCCAGTCCTTGCACATGGGCCATGAGACCAGCTGTCAACAGGACCCCCAAATCCCTGACTTGTGATCCTGCTTCCCCCAGTCCTGGCCTTTCCTCCCTAGTCTGTCCCCCTCCCACAGTGGGTAACACTAGAAAACAAAATAATGCAACAGTGGAAAAAAGTAAAACACTCAAGCAAGCAAGGGCGCCTGTACGTCTCCCCAGCCAGGGGCCACCTGGGGCGTGCGCATCCTGGCATCAGTGGCTCCCCTCCCAGTGTCTCTCACATGCGGTTCCTCGCCTGGAGCCCCCTTCTG